CTTTCTCCTGCTCTGCTTTGATATCTATATTTGGTTCCACTTCACCATCATCAAAGTCTTCAGTCACTTTGACTTCACCTTGATGGCACCTAATTAGTTCAACCTCTCTTTTAACAGTTACCAGAACTTGGCCTTTGTTGTTCCCAAACGTCATTTTATCAAAATCAATTACAAACTTCCTCATCAAAGTTGTTGCAAATACAATGACATCATCCAGGTACACAAGGGCTATCCTCCATTGTAGGCCTGCCAGTACTCTTTCCATCAGCCTCTCAAATGTTGCTGGAGCATTGCTAAGCCCGAATGGCATCATACGGTATTGCCAGAGACCTTGGCCATAACTAAATGCAGTCTTAGGTTTATCTTCTTCAGCCATTTTCACTTGATGGAAACCCGACTTTAATTCCAGAGTTGAAAACCACCTGGCTCCACTTAGGGCATCAAGAGTATCATCAATTCTTGGCAGTGGATATACGTTTTTTTCGTTTATACTGTTAAGAGCTCTGAAGTCCACACAGCAACGTTGGGTCTCACCCTTCTTCTGGACTAACATGACGGGAGCTGACCAGGGACTATCTGATTTCTCGACTATCCCTTCCTTAATTAAACAATCCATGACCTTCTCCATTTCTTGTCACTTTGCTGGAGCTATTCTCATTGGAGGGATCTTTATTGGACGGTGATTGCCTGTGTTTATTCTGTGCTCCACAAGGTCTGTGCAGCCAAGGTCATGATCTCCTTTTGAAAAGACGTCTGCATAATTCACCAAAAGTTCTCTAACCTGAAGAGCCTGTGATGATGACATATGGACTATGCTCTTTATATAGATATCAGTTAAATGTTCTGGAAGTGTATATCCTTTCTTTATAGTTGCATGTCTTGCTTTAACATTGACTGGCTCTACCTCCTGGCACACACCCAACAATGCCCCTTCCTTAAGTGTCTGCTCACATTTAGAGTAATTGGCCACTGTTATAGGTACTAATTGATGACCTGCCACAAGTGACATTCCAATCTTCAAATCCGCTGCCCTGGATGGGTCTTCCACTGCTTACACAAGCATTGGGCTTCCTTGGGGATGTTCTTTTATCCTACCCCAAATTATCTTCTCTGACATAGGGGGTATTGTAGTTGACTTAAGTGGTGTGATGTGCAAATCAACAGATGTAGCAACACTTACTGGAATTTGGCCTCTGTTGTTTCCAATCGTCATTTTATCGAAGTTAACTACACACTTCCTAGGTAGTAAATAGTTCAATCCTAATATGCATTCGTCTTCAATGTCAGCCAAGTATACTTTGTGTCTGTTCTTCATGCTCCTGAGCTCAATAGTTACCTACACTGGTCCCCACAACCTTGCATAATGTCCTGTCACACCATAAAGCTTCTGTATGGCTTCTGGTACACCTTCATGATCTAACACCTTGATGCTCACAAGGGTTTGCTGAGACGCAGAGTCTATGACAAAGTTGTACCTTTGGCCATCTAGCTTTTCCTGTCACATAGACACTGTGTGTGCTTGGCTATTTTACACCTAGCTGTTGGGACTTTC